GAATTGCTGACGAATATTGACATCTTGTTCTGAGGAGTTTTTACACAAATCAAAACTTTGGGGCCAGGTAATAAGACTGGTGCTCTTTGTTTGGAACAGTGCCAGCACTAAGTTAGAAAAGTGCAGTGTGTGATGATTCTCCTGGTGGTAGATTGACAAGTAAATGTCCTCTGTGATTCTTCCCAATGCATTACCCATTAGTCCTGGTTTGGGGAACAGGCAGTACAGCTGAGGATTCCCTTCTGTTCCCTGCTAATTGGCTAACTTTTTGTTTGATATATAATAAAAGTAAATACATCATTTGCTGCCTCATATTTTCCCTATGTCACCTGTGTTACCTATTTTACAGGTAATCCTTGATTTATGATCATAATGGAGCCCTGCAGTTATGCTTGTAAGTCATGACAGTTATAAAGCAGGTTACCACATGACTAGACCTGATTTTTACAATCTTTTTTGAAATGGTTGTTAAGCAAATGTGGAGGTCATTAAGCAAATGCAATGGTTTGTAAATGAACAGAGTAGTTGTTAAGCAAAACCCATTGTTTGCTACTGGGCAATTTTTGCCAGAATCCATAAGTAAATGCCAGTTTCTGACAAAAACATCATAAATCATAATAATGAGACTGCAGGACACTGCAAAAAGCCATAAATACAGGCCAGTTGCTGAATGCCCAAAATGCAGTCATGTGACCATAGGGAGGGTACATCAGAATTTGAAAAATGGGTTGTGTCTCTTTTGGGGAGGTTCATCCGCATTTCAAAATGTCACTGGCCACTGGTCATAAGTTGAGGACTACCTGTAAAAAACAAAAACTGGAATACTGCATAAGAAAGTGCTTGCTTCCCATTCTTTAAAAAACCATTAACATATACACATAGACAATGTTAGAAAATTTAAATGATGTCAGTCTGAAAAAGGTAATAAAAACAATTTAGAATGGAATTGAACATCTTCAGTGGCCAAAAAATCGGGTGGATACAGTACCTTTCTGGCAAATAGCCAGAAAGTAAATAGCCTTTTCAAAATAGCTATGCCTCTTGCAGCAGCAACAACAAGGAGTGACCACTTGTGCTTGAAACTCCAGTAAACCTGGGCCACATAAACTTTTCTCAAGTTTATTAAGATGGCTGGTGCAGTTCTACGCAACAATGACTGGGTTCACTGAGTGATATGCTTTGGTGGTAAAGATACTGCATCATAAAATACTTTTGATATCTGTACAAGGTTTTCTTGCCAAAACGTTTTGCTCTGAAGAACTTTCAAATCAACATATTGACCACAACTGCTAATAACACAGAGAAAAAAGCAAAAGAAAATAGAGGGGAACTGTTTTCTTTCCTGCTACATGAAGTAAAGGAACATAAGTCAATATATTCTCAATATCCTATAATCCATAAATACACTTGCTTAATACTTTCTTAAAATAGCTGGCTCTCGTCAATTCTTAGGGCAGTGAATTCCATATGAAGCTCAATTATAGCATACAATGTTTGCTATAATTTTTAAAATAATGATTTTAAAAATAAACTTTTTGAAAAATGAAAAATGATTCCAACATCAGGCAGACTCAAAATAGTTCCATGAGTGGTTAATTTGTTGTTATTAATTTGATACAATTTCAAATTTCTAGATATAAATTTAGAGGGCTTTTTTCTGAAAGATTTCTATTCATTGCTTATTTCCTGAGTCTTTACTCTCTTTTTTCCCCAAATGCCATTTAGAGGTCTGTGAATAAGGTTAAGGAAGCCAAGTTTCCTCCAGATAATTCCCATGATTGCCATTCATTCTGATGTAACTCACTATGAACCATTGAAATTTTTTTCCAATATTTTGGAAAAATATTTTCAAGTGTACCAAATTGGGGAAGGCCTGGTGATAATTTGTGCATCTGAGTTCTGGCTTGGATATGATAAATTGTGCAAAATTCCTTCAAAAGTAGTCAGAATACACACCTATACTGTGGACTATGTCGTTCTTTACAATTCATTCCCATTTTTCTAAGAGGCAAAACCATCAGTGTAGTAGGCAGAATATAAAAATATTTATTATCAACTCTACAAGTTAAATTCTAAAGACCATTTTAGGGCAGATTAAACAAAAACATGCAAATTAATGGTAATATCATGAAGTTTACATAATCAGAGTTTTTATGGAGATCAGCTGTGAGATTAAGCTGTGTTGCTTAAGTCAAATCAGCCTTTCGCCTTTTGTAATTTATTTGCTTTACAGTACTAAAGCAATGTTTTGTGAACTTTGAAAGAAAGGTATTCTTGTAAAGTGGACTTTTATTTTCTCTTCATTCTCCACATAGCATATGTTTCTTTTTCTTTGAAGGGTAAAATAAAGTTATCTTTTCACATTTGAGTTAAGGATAATGTAAGGATAATTGTTACTCTCTTAAATGGTTAGAGATCATATCTGCTTTGCTAGAGTGTTAAATAGGTAGACAGGATTGTCAGACTGATTGGTAATACACATTTATGTAGAAGAAATTCTTACTGTCTTTAATGAAGCTTACTAACAATGTTATAGATTTGCAAATAAGCTCTACTGAAAATGTAGAAATCACAAAAAAGGCAGTGCAAATCTTGTTTAAATGAAGGTAATAGAATTCAATGTTCCAAATGACTTGGATGGAGGATCATACAATATTATTGCAATCTTTAAATTACTGAGAAATTCAAGGAATGTTTTCTTGATATTGATTGGAACTTATATAGTAGCAAATCTAAAACTACAAATGGAGCTGCAGCTTATTCTGGTTGAATTCCAATTGGGATACATATATGAAACATACATTGCTGCAAAAATAAAGTATTTTGTTGTATGAAGTATTCTTAATCTGTGACACTCCCTCACCTGGATATTAATAATGTTACATCTCAGGATCAAATAGTTTTTGATGTTTTCTTTGTTCTTAACTAGGATTGGGTGAGAATCTTGGCACAGAGACTATGGAATTTTAGCCTTTGGTCACTGCCTAGATACCAATTTGTCTATTATAAAGTGCTCACCCACTCCTCAATAAATAATAGGTAACTACTAATGGAATAAATGTTTCAAATCTCATTTTGGGGGGGATCCCAGTTTAGTCAGAGACCTGAACTGCAGGATTGAGTGACAAAAATCTAGCAGTCTTTATTACTCCAAGATTTTATAATTACATACATTTTACAATTATGTATTTCCTTTATGGAAAGTTGGGCATGACTGAAATTTGGAAATGTGAAAAACAAAATTTGAGATATTCAGTTCCAGCTTCATATATTGCAGTTTGGGCTGTGGATGTTTTAAATACATTTGTATCCTGTTCTTAAATGTAATAACAAGAACTATCAGAAAGACAGAAAAATAATAAAATATTTATTATTTATCCATAGCACAAGAAGGAAAGCAATAATGTTGAAGAAGTGGATCTTACCTGTTTATGTACAACTTAATTGATGTACATTTATAAAAAACATAATATCATTTCAGTTGTCAGAAGATTCTGGAAAAAACATCATTTGGTTACCAGACAAATCTAGTTTTTAAAGATAATTTACATTCATATGTACTATAAAATAAATAAATATAGATATATATATATATTAAAAATACAAACTATAATATTACCAAAGATGAACTGTTTTAAATTTCTTGATTTCAATATAAGGATATTGCATATTTACAACTTTCTCATGGACATCAAGGTTCTTTGATAAACTGTAGCTTTGTTAATATCATGATAATGAGAGCTATTCCCTTTTGTTTGCCTGCTAGTTTGGAATATTTATTAGAAGACAGGTATAGTGAAGTGAAATCTGCAGAAACAAAGCTGGTTTCATGTGCACAACTGTGATGGCTCATGCTCTATATCTATAGAAAAATCAACTTTTATTTTATTATTTATTGATTTTTAAAAAATTATAAGCATCTCTTCTCACAGTTTGTGACTCTGGCTGGCATACAACAATAAAGATAAAAAGAAAATCAAGATCCAAAAAAAAAAAAAAGTGAAAACAACACAAGGAAACAAATACAGGTAGTCCTTGACTTATGACTACAGTTGAGCCCAAAGTTTATGTTGCTAAGTGAGAAATTGGTTAATTGAGTTTTGCCCCATGTTATCACTTTTCTTGCCACATATATTAAGTGAATTACTGCAGTTGTTACATTAATAACATGGTTGTTAAGTGAATCTGGCTTCCCCATTGACTTTGCTTATCAGAAGGTCGCAAAAGGTGATCACATGACCTCTGGACATTGCAACTGTTGTCAAGCATTTGAATGTAAATTATGTGACCATGGTGATGCTGCAAAGGTTGTAAGTGTAAAAAATGGTCATAAGTCACTTTTTTCAGTGCTGTTGTAACTTTGAACGGTCACTAAATGAATTGTTGTAAGTCGAGGACTACCTATAACTAATATATATTATAAGCAACATATACTGAAGGTCACTGATGATAATGTACACTTTCATACAATGGACTCATTCAGCATTCTGGTCAAATGTATGCTAGAAGAACCAGATCTTTCTGAAGTCTATCAAAAGTCAGGAACAACAATAAAGAAGGCATATCTGCATCATTCTTATATCTAAATATATTGATCCTTTTGCTAGTGAAAATATTATGGATAGAAGCAAAGTAGAGGATTGGAATGGAAATGTGAACATTTTACATTTGTTGTTAAACAGTTTAACTCATGTTGAATTAATCACTTACAAGTGCTTAACATTAAATGCTATATAGCCTCATAATGATCCATATGGATATCTTATGGCATGAATATAACATATATTCCATATTCATATGAACATGTCTATTCCTGTGAATCTTTCCATATGCGACTAGTTCTATCATTGAGGACAATGAGGAGCAGGCTTGCTGCTCTAAATAAGACTCCTGTGCTCAGCTGATAGAGAGTGCTGTTGTGTTGCTGATAGTGAAGTGTACAAGTTTTTATGCATCTTCATCTCTTTTACTTACGGGTTCTGTGGTATTTTAAATCATAGGTCAAGACTCCTTTTTGAAGCGATGGAGTAGTCCGTTCTTCATTTTTCCACGAGTGCCATCAATATGTAGGATGTCAATGGGCTTAACTTTCAGTAAGAGAAAAACCCCTACATTTTCCCTCTTCTGAATTCTGTGTAGGCATTTGCCAGATAAATGTTTGCTAAAGATTCACCAGTGCCCAAGAGAAATGTGTGTTAAAAATATCCAAACCTTGTACAATGTAGGGGTGGAAAATCCATAATAGATTCAGAAGTATCTGTCTGAATAAAAGAGTGACAATTGAGTAAAATTGAAGTAGAAAATAGAGATTGGTCTTTTCTCAGGTCTAAAGGTCTATGTAATTCTTGTATCATGTTTCTTTAAAGGAATTCTGAGCTGTATTTTATTATTCATTTTATTCATTAAAAAAGTGACCCCAGTATTATGAATTTTAGCATGAGATAGACTTAACAAAATAATTCAACATAATTGAAAATAATTTAATTAATTTTAAAAATACCAAACAATTACTATCACTATAATGTTATCATTTTTAATAAAAAAGTTAAAATACTAAAAGCAGCATTCAGGAATGATTGACCTCAATTCAAAACTTGATTATTTAGATAATGTCAATTATTCAGTCCAAGGGGAGAACATTTTTTGCTCAGGTACTACATATTCCAAACCATTTAGGATTTTAAATGTCTTGAACAAAGGCCTATGGTTTCTTTCAAATTGATGTTAAATGGATTCCACAAGCCGTTCCTGACAGCTACATTCTACACTTTGGAGTTATAGAAATTCCCTAAGTTGAGACCAAGTCATAATGGTTTGTCCAGAATTCAATATAGCCTTCCCAACATCCAGATCCAACAGCTCAGAGCAGCATAACATTTGACTCACCAAACCGTATTTTTGCCTTACCGACAACTTGACACTTTTCTTTTCATATTTTTTGTTCAGCTTGGTAAGTCCCCAGCTAGCCAACTGAAGAAAACAGCATTCTATTAGAAATCATTTGTATATTGGTCTTCAAAGATAATTTCCAAAGTTTCTGTGACAACTCTATCAAGTTACAATTCTGTAAATGTCTGAAAAAAGTTACTGGATGAAGCCCTTAGTAGTTTAAAGAAGGTGAGAAAACTAAGGGAACCTGATCTGAACTGCATTTCTGAAAAGAGGCTACCTGTGTTACTGAATGAGTTCATTCTTATGTGTGCTGAGAATACCTGATTTTTATTTATTTTTTATTTTGCCAAAGAGCCAGCAGATGTCTATACAGACTCTTGAGAACTCAGACCTCTAGCCTTATGCTCCAAGGCCAGAGCTAGGCTTTATTTCTGCCTCACTACCTTGGGCATGCTTCTCCCTGGTGTTTGTGACCACTTAGCAACTTTATTCTTTGGAACATTAAATGTTGTAACAGAAGGGCAAGCAGCTTCCCACTATTTGTTGCATATCTGTGGAGTCAAGCCATCTGTCAGTAAAACAGAAAAACCTAAGTTCCTTTTCTCTCCAGGGTTCAGTTTGCTATTTTGGAGAGGGCTTCCATTCCCCATGTGGAAGAAAGCTGGTGTGGTTTGAAGCAAAGATGGTTGAAAAAGAGAGGGCCAAAAGACTGAAGCTGCTGTTTTGCCCATCTGCCACTGCTTGAGGTGTATTCATTATTAATGGAGGTAGTAGCGGTTGCTGTTCAGATATGCAGGCCTGCCTGGGTAAATGAGACATTCTTCAGCAAATTGCTTCGGTTTTTGATTGCTGATTGTACGCGTGTCACCAAGCTGACTCAAGGTTCATCGATGCATGCTCAGTAAATTAGAAAGAACATAACTATGGATCAGCCAAGAGAATGAATTCTTTGCCTACAATGACCCAGGGCCATTTAATTTTCTGCTTAATTTTGTTGCAGTCAGTTTGCATTTTGGGTTATTATGCAGTAGGAAATTAACAATAAATAACAAATTTGGTCCTCCTGTGCTTGTAATGATATTTTTATAAATCTTTGTAATGCTCTTTTTAAAAGGATCAAGGTCTGCACCAGGCTGATACCCCACAAATATGCAGGATAGGAAAGAAAGGAGAAAAAAAACATTAGTCCTGGCAGATAATCTCATAGTTAAATAGCAACTCCCTTCTCTTTCTGTTCTGTCAGCTCTCTCCTATGATTTTATATTTCACATTAAGTTTAAGGTTTTTCTTTTTCTCTTTTTTTTTTCCAGATAATTTGAGGAAAATGGAAACAGATGAGGCTCAAGATATGTCCCAAGTTTCTGGTGAGATGGGATATATAAAGAATATGACTTTTTAAAAAAGTGGGGAATCTCCCATCCAACTTCAAATTTGTTTGGTTCTCTACAAGACCATAGCATTTTTGTTATTGTCAGGACAGGTGCTTCAATATTTTGTAATGATTGAATGCAGATCAGGATATCATTAAGGTTTATCATTTCATATCAAACCTAGTAATGGATTTTTTTTAAAAAATTGGGAAAATGAAAAAGGAGACGTATAGCTGTTGGTATGCATAGATCTACTTTCTCTCACATAACAAGGAGCCTTTGTGACACATTTTAAATTCAAAACCAGATTGCAGCTTTTTTATATGAAACACAGCAAATATAAACCAAAGATATAATTCTTATTTTATCTATCAATATTTTTCTAAACTTAATGATCTTCAGTTTTATAATTAGTCTAAGACTAATTTGCTTAGATTTCCTTCAACTTGAATTTTCATTTTTATGCAGTAAAATTGTCTTACACAATTCTTTTGTGAAAGTGATTTGTTACATTTGGAAACAATTGTAAGGGAAGGCAGAAAATAACATGCGAATTGGAGATCTACTATAAAGACCTGGGTATTTCATAGTCCATTAAAGCTGGAATTTTAATCCTTCTAGATACCTCTACAATATATATTTCTAAAAACTGTATAAAACATTCAAGAGATAGTCATTAAAATGTACATGTTAAAGAGTAAATAATACCCAAATGCAGAAGACAAAATTAAGATTTTTATTGTAGCTAAGTAACCAATACAGAATATAATCCAGAATTTTAGAATTTTAGAAACACAGAATCATATGGCTGAAAGGGACCTTGGAAGTCTTCCAGTCCAACTGCCTGCCCAAGGCAGGAATCCTTATATAGGCCTGAACAAATAATTGTCCAGCTTTTCTTGAAAACCTCCAGTGGTGGAGCACCCACAACTCCATGAAACAAGCTGTTCCATTGGTTAAGTGTTCTCACTGTCAGAAAATACCTCCTTAGTTCTAGGTTGAATCTCTCCTTGTTAATCTTCCATCCTGTACTTCCTATCCTGCCCTCAAGTGCTATGGAGAATAAACTAACCCTCTCTTCCCTGTGACAGCCCTTCAAATATTAGAAAATGGCTAACATGTCACCTATAAAATTTCTCTTTTTTAGGCTAAACATATTTAGTTCCAATATCCATTGCCTCATGCAATTTAGACTCCAGACCCTTTATCATCTTTGCTGCTCTTTTCTGCATACTTTTTAGGATGCCAGCATCAATTTGAATTGGTGTGACAAGAACCGGATGCAGTATTCTAAGTACTATCACTTCTTGTGATCTTGATACTATCCTCTGTTGATGCAGTCTAGGGCAGTATTGGGTTTTTGGCAACTGTAGCACACTGCTGAGTTATACTTAAGTAATGGTCCACCACGACTCTCACAGGCACTATTGTAGAGCCTGTCACTTCCTATTCTGTACCTGTTCTTGTTTTTCCTGCCTAAATTACTAGACAATCACTTGTCTGAAATAATATAGGGTCTCCTGCTTGAGTGGGGGGGTTGGACTAGAAGACTTCCAAAGTCCCTTCCAGCTCTATTCTGATTGATATTTATACCACCAAACTGCATCTTATTGCATGGAGTTCAATGCTCAAGTCTGTCAAGTTCCTTCTGAATCTTGACTATATCTTCCAAAGTGTTGGCAATTCCCTCCAGTTTGATGTCATCCACAAATTTGATAGTGCCCCTTCAATCCCCTCATCTAGGTCATTTATGAAGATGTTAAATAACAAACTGAGTTAGAAGGGACCTTGGAGTCCAACCCCCTGCTCAAGCAGGAAACCTAATACCATTTCAGACAAATGGCTGTCCAATCTCTTCCTAAAAACCTCCAGTATTGGAGCATCCACAACTTCTGGAAGCAAGTTGTTCCAGTGATTAATTGTTCTAATTGTCAGAAAATTTCTCTTTAGTTCTAGGTTGGTTCTCTCCTTTATTAGCTTCCATTGCTTCTTGTCCAGCACTCAGGTGTTTTGGAAAATAAATTGACTCCCTCTTCTTTGTGGCAGCCCCTTAGATATTTCAACATTGCTACCTTATCACCACTAATTTTTCTTTTCATTAAACTAGACATACCCACTTCTTGCAACCATTCTTCATATGTTTTAGCCTTTAGTCCCCCTAATTGTCTTTGTTGCTCTTCTCTGCATTTTTTCTAGAGTTTGCAACATCTTGGATGCATTGTTACAAATGTGATCTTACCAAGGCATTACAAAGCAGTATTAACACTTCACATGATCTTGATTCTATCTCTCTGTTAATGCAGCCTAGGACTGCTTTGGTTTTTTTGGTAGCTGCAGCACACTGCTGGCTTATATTTAGTGATAGTCCATTAGGACTCCAAGATAGCAATAGCAATAGCACTTAGATTTATATACTGCTTCATAGTGCTTTTACAGCCCACTCGAAGCAGTTTTACAGAGTCAGCATATTGCCCCCAGCAATCGGGGTCCTCATCCTCCATCAGAAGGATGGAAGGCTGAATTAACCTTGAGCTGGTGAGATTTGAACTGCTGAACTTCAGCTAGCAGTCAGCTGAAGTAGCCTGCAGTACTGCAGTCTAACCACTGCATTACCTCGACCCTAGATCCCTCTCACTGTTACTATTGAGCAAGCTACCATCTATTCTATATTTATGCGTTTGGGTTTTTTTGCCTAAAAGTAGAACTGTACTGCGCCCAAGATGAAACCTTGAGGTAATCTACTGCATTCTTCCCTCCATCAGATCTACTCCATTGAAGTGTGAATAGTCAGCCAACTGCATAACAACTTAACAATTTAACAAGACAGAGTATAATCTTAAGGATGTCAGCAAGTATTACTCTTTATGTTAGACACTCTTAGGTTCTTTACTGTTTAGGCTTTTTAATAAGGTTGTTTCTGAGATGTAGAAACCCCAAATCACTCTTTAAGATTGCATTTTGAAAAAGAATGAAAAGCAGGTGATACGTCAGTTGTATAAGACTTTTCAGATTGTCTTTTTCAAATGGTGCAATAGATATTATTCTTCTGAGTAAGATCTGTAAAGTTGTGTACAAACCTATAGTAGAGCAGTTAGGGGTTTTCTTGGCACAGTTCACAGATTAGCATTTAGGATGCTTCTTAGCTATGTTCCCAGCCACTGTGATCCTAGATTGTCGATACTATTTTGAGATAGAGCCAGTTTACTTCCAGTTTGGCTATGTAAGTCAAAAGGAGTTATTTGGTCTAGTGGTTAGGGCACCTGGAGAGAAAATAAGAGACCATGAGTTCTAGTCCCTCCTTATCCATAAAAGCCAGCTGGTTGACCTTGGGCCAGTCACTGTCTCTCAGCCTAACCCACCTCCCAAGGTTATTGTTGTGGAGAAAAATAGGAGAAGGAAGGATTATTAAGTATCTTCACTGTATTGAGTTGTTTATTGACGAAATAATAAAGGTGTGATAGAAATTAAATAAATAAATGCATACATGCATACATACATACATTTCCAGATTTCAATTTGTGACAATGGAATTATGTGCAACTTGGGATAGATTGCTTTCTTTGCTGCAAAAACTCCTGCCTTACCCCATTCCTCAACACTTTAGTATGCCCTGGCCAGAATGCTACTGTCACACTTTCCATTGCTGGGCTGATCTCTCTTTCATGAAGTTCTTGGTATTACCTTCAATGAAAACAATTATGGGCCATTGTTCAATAATTCTGAAGGTTTACTGAAATTTGAGGAAAGGTAGCAATGGCTGTGTTAAATTGCTTTAAATTTCTCCAATATAAATTATACCCCACTTGCTAAATTTCTGCCTGTGATATCACCTAGATCTGGCCTAGAGTTGTGTTTCTAATCTAAGCCTACATAATAATGTTTGATTTCGTTTCACTTTGTGCTTCCCTTTTCATAGGTCTATATTAATATAAAATTTAATGTGGAGAGGGAGATTCAGAGAGTGAACCTAAAGAATTTTAAAATCTTGTATTTATATATAAGTGGCAAATTCAGCTAAAACCAAATTGAGGAGGAAATGAAATTCAATTTCTGCAGTATCTCATGTGTGTGGTTTCCTGTAAAAACACCTGCATCAGAAAGCAGGATAGGGCTTGGGTGGAGTAAGAATTAAGTTTTTAGCAAGTCTTTAGTAAGCCGGATGTTAGGAGAGGGACAACTGACTTGTGACATCACTTATTTTTCTCTAAGATTTGATATAAAAATTTGGAACAAATTAATAGAGAAAATTAGATCAAGATTAATAGGATTTCTATTTAACAAAGAAATACTTCTCTGAATTCCAACTGCAGGGGACAGACACTAGGCCTGGGCACATATGCAGCTTGTAAGCATCACAGAAAGAACTAGCTACCATTGACTAGTATAGGTAGTCCTCAAGCTACAACAGTTCATTTAGTGACTGTTGACTTATGACCATTTTTCACACTTATGACCTTTGCAGTATCCACATGGTCATGTGATTTACATTCAGAGGCTTGGCCAGCTGACTCAAATTTATGACAGTTGCAGTGAGTCATGTCATCTTCTTTTGCAATCTTCTGACAAGCAAAGTCAATGAGAAAGCCAGATTCACTTAACAACTGTGTGACTAATTTAAGAACTGCCATGATTCACTTAACAAATGAGGCAAGAAAAGTTGTAAAATGGAGCAAACTCACTTAACATATTTCTCACTTAACAACATAAATTTTGGGCTCAGTTGGGGTCATAAGGTGAGGACTACTTGAACTGGATATTCAGCATGAAACAATATAAACTATATATTTTTACAATACTGAATCCTGGCTAAAAACAACACCACTGTATTAATCCATTATGGCCTTATTCATTATGGGATTGGTGAATGCTTCAGCTCACAAGTTGGAAAAGGCAATGCACCTTGCCCACAGAAAGACATAATCTGAATTCATTATGGAGTTACTCATTATTTTAAGCAGACAGAGAATAAAACTGCTTTCTTTATATATTATGGG